AGCAGTTCAATTGCCTTGTAATTGACTGGCTGTCTAAGTAACGTGCCTTTGAGGGAAACACTAGTTTTGAAATCTCTGTTGGCCAGGAGGGGAAGGAGAATGCTGAAGTCTTTGAAGTCTACGGCCATCAGACTAATTATCAGCGCCATTCAATACGCATTCATTTAATTACAGTAAATTAAAAAGGATGTGGGGTTTTGGAGGAAAATAAAAGAATCAGTAAATGGTGACAGAAATTCCAGAGTCTGCAAATCATCAGTGCCTGTCCTGAGGGAGACCAGTATCTCACCCTCATCTTTCCAAATGTACAAAAAACACGTCGCTAACGCAGAGGGAGAGTGTGGACGGTGGGGGGTGGGGGGCATTTCCCGTGCGCCAAAACTATGGAGGTACCTGATAGTGTTTCTCTAGCTTAATCTTCATAACCATTTAGGAAGGAGAAATAAAAATAATCTTCCAGCTTTCATAAAATTTCCAGCTCTTATAAATAGTAGGAGCACACATTTAATTTGGAATTCATTAGACGCTAGGTGCTGTTCTAAGCACTTTATATACCCAAACTCAATGAGTCCTCACAACAACCTGTAAGGATTGAATACTGTTTACTATTTTCTCTATTTTCGCCCCTGTGGAAACAACAGGGTGGGAAGGTTAAGGAGCTTTCCCAAGGCCTCATAGCTGGGAGGTGGGAAGCCAACTCAAATCCAGGTGGTCTGTCTGCAACAAGATATTCTCAACTACTGCCCTCTCCAGAGGCTCTTGAAGTCCCAAATCACGGTGACGTACAGGAGCAGTGCTGAATCCTCCCAGTCCATCTGACCTCAAAGGTCATCGCTTCCCATGGTGTGGAGGAGACTGTGGGGACAGGGACGAGGAGGAAGATGAGGGCCTGCAGTGGGAGGGTACACATCTCTGGACCTAGCGGCTCAACTAGGCAGAGATGGAAAAATGGGGAACCTGACCTTAAGTTAGTTCAGAAACAAACGGTCGTAGGGGCTGAATGAAAAGACCTCAACTCTAAGTGGCACGATCCAAACCCAGGCATCCTGTATGACACCATGCTGCGGGGTGACAAAGGACAAAAATGTATGCTTGAATGCTTCTGGGAAAAGATGCACAAACTGACATTTTTAAAGCTGAAAGGTTGATGTTTTGAAAAACAGTTCTTTGTTCCTGACATTTATGCAGACAATTGGAATTGAGATCCCAAGACTTGCAAAGATGAATAGCGGGGAATCAGTCGAGTGCCTTTTAGGAAAACATCAGAGAAGGAAAGAGCCTAAAAAATCCAGAACATGCTGGTAATTTTACCTTTGACTAATTGGGGCATTCCATCGGGGACTTCGTAACCTCTCAACAGCTTACAAGAACTCCTGCTACTAGGTGGTCACAACCCGCTGGCTCTCCAGGCCTTGCCTGGGGCACGGCAGTTGACTTAGGACGGTGGTGACAGACACAGCAATCACTATGTGTCCAGAAAGGACTACTTCTCCCCTTCATTTGAAACAAAATTAATATTTGGAATTCCATATGAAACTCCATATACTGTAAAATTTTTTCTCCTTAAAATTCTTTTTAACTTCAAGTCCCCATGGTTGGTAAAGAGTTAGTTTTGCAAAATAATAAATTTTATCACTTGTTTGGAATCTTTGTTAACATGGAGACATACGACATGGTTGGAATGTTCTTTGCTCTCGTGGGATGCTCAGACCATCAAAATTTCATTAGCCTCACAGCGGTTCTAGCGCCTTCTTAACTTGAACTGTTGGTCTTTTTATCAATAAATAAATGAAATCTAAACCCTTTTAGTTACTAAACTCTTCTTTGAAGTTATAACTAGAACATCAGCACTCGGCTTGCATGGTTTTACAAATGTTGAATAATATTTTTTTTTCTGGGGAAAACAGCCTTATTCACTATTATTTCAAATGATGGAAACAGTCAAAGAAAACTGCCATGCTAAACAGGATGAAAACAAGTCAGTGTCTGGTTTCTAAATTAGTTTCATTTTGGTGGGATGTTTTACACATGGCCTTCTTGTTTCAACTTCTAGTGATATAACTCAAGCTCAAACAAAAATGAGTAACATGAAGCAGTTGCAATAACTGGAAGTCAAAGCAAAATATAACTGGAAAATGAATAGTCTTTCAAAGCTAAAGCACTTAAAATACCTGAGAAGGATAGAATTGAATTACTTATAGTAAGTTTATGTTAGAAATATTTGACTAGAAGTAGTGATACTAAAATATGTAATAGTTTTGAAGGAACTGTGTATAAAGATGTTTAGAGGACCCACGTGTAAGATTACAACTTGTAGTTTTTATCATAACCCAGCTTAAGAAAAAAAGTAGTTTTTTACATCAGAAAAGAAATCCTAAATATTATTGTTCAATTCCACAACTTAAAATTACAAGGTCTGCTAAATATCTCAGAAAATTATGCTTCCCCAGATTTTAACGTAATTTATTACTTTAAGTGGCATCTTGTTCCTTCTGACTGATCACTGAAGACTCAGAACAAGTGAACTACTCTGAAATGTTCCTGTGGACATACATATGAAGCCTAGGAAATAGCCAGCATCCAGGGAGGGATCATATCTCTTTTATTTCCTTTCTCTTGGCTTCCTTAAGCCGATGCCGTTAGGAATTCTTAGACCATCAAAATGTTTTTAAAACAACCACAGCCAAACCTCGTGTAAAGGGTAAACACAAGTTTAAGTCATCACTTGCCCAACTCAACAAACATTGCTTTTGACACTTTATACTCTTAACTTAACTGACCTGTTTACTCTCAACAAATTCTGCCAAAGGTTCTGAATTTCAAGGCAAGGCCTTTGACACTCTCTTCCTGTCTCCTCGTTGTGCTTCCTAACAGCCTGAAGAAATGGAAGAGTCTCCCTTTTCTTGCCTTCAAGTCACTCTAAGGACAAGGTCAAAGTCACTCTAAGGACAAAGTCTATGCGATTCCCGGGCCAGCGCTTCCCTCCTCTAGTTACTAATGCACGTGGAGAGGGCCCGTGGTGTGAGAAATGCCCACGTCCTCCTCCTCATTCCTCAGTCATTTGGCTGTTAACTGAAGCTCGCACAGTTGGTAGTTTTCTACTTTCTGCAAAGAAAGTAAATATGGCATGTGTTTGGGGATTCACTGTGAGGCAGTTTTAGCAGATACATAATTTTTAGAAATGAGTAAATTAATTTAAATTTTACCAAGTAAGACACCATAACAAGGTACACTCATTATTGGAGAGAGAACGAACAGAGGCTGTGGGTAGAAAGGGCAAGCTGACTCAAAGTGAAAAATCATTTAGGGGACGTGAATGCGGAAGGCCCGGGATGCAGACACTCAGCACTGAAGGCGCTGTCCTCCCGCATTCTACTCTTTTTTCTACAACTGTAATAGGTTTTACCGTGGATTAAAAAACAAAAGAAAACCCAATGCAAGTGCCACACGTGACTATAACCACTGCATCTGCGATTGCCCCAAGGCTGTTACGTGAAGACGCAGAGGGACAGGGGGCACAGCTTATGCCGAATCTTACCTACTCACGGTGAGTGACTTCGGGGTCCACACTGGAAGCTGACAGAAGCACGGGTTTTACCGCGGCGGACGGCTTCGCCCAGGGAAGCAGTGGCAGTCTGATTCTAAGGCTCATGTTGTCGGAAAGCACTGCCCTTGTTTTCTCTTTTGTGTCGGAAGAAAGCCAGTCTCCACCAAAAACTTACATTTCCAAAATGAATATATCAAGTGCACATTATTAATTGATTTTTGACTTGGGTTTAATGCACTGAAGTGTCCCAGGTAGATATTGGTTTAGCGGGTTTGAATCAGATTTTTTTCTCGTGACCAGGAAGGAGATGATACTGAACAGTGAGAAGCACTCGGTACCACCTCAGACTGTGACTTGGCCGAAACTGAAAGCTGACAATAAACCTGCTTTCCTATTACAATGCGAAGCTGACAAATTTGCTCAGTGAATAATAAAAATGAAATATCATTGGTGAAACAACGCTCTTTCTTTTCAAATGTCATCCAATCCCTTCACTTTCATTTTTGCTTTGCTTTTTGATGCATCCCATACACAGCATTAATAACTAGACTGAAGTAGCAAGTGCACTGCGAATATTAACCGCTGAAGGAGACATGCCTTTGTTGTCCAGTCCATGGGTGTTGATGCCCCAATTCTTCCTAGAAGCAGCACTGACTAAAAATTAAATTTTCTTTAAAATCCATTATTGCATATAAATTCACTCTTTTTATTATCCTGCACGGAGCAATTTTTAAAAGTCCTAATAATTTCTAAACACATTTTTCTTACGATACGCACAGCTGCTATTTGGATATCCCAAAATCCAATTTGGTGTGTGGATTTAATTGCATAGTAATCCAGTCCCCAAAGCACATCAAAGGCCACACTCCCTCTCTTTACCAAGATTTCAATTGCTCTTATCAACCAGTAAGTTTAAAGCATGATCAAATTTGTTCTTCAATCACTTGAGCCCTCTTAATAAACTATTCTGTGTGCTCACTCATCCATTCTAAGGTTCTGCAACTTCTTTGAGATATCTTCAAGAGGAATCTACAAAGACATCTTTGATTGCAAGCCAGCTCTGGGGTAAACTTTATCACCACTTGCTTTGAGACTCCGCAGAGAACAATAGGTGACATGGTCCAAGATAAGTCAAAGCTAATCTTTTTTTTTTTTTTTTTGCCATAAATGATGAAACCATTATTCAAAACTACAGCTAGCACATCATAAACCGCTTGCATAATTGAACAATCTCATTTCGAATATTGATTTTTTTGCCCCAAGGAGAAAAAAAAAAGTACATCATTCAAGGTCATTTCTTGAGTTTTACTGCGTTAAAACAGAAAGACAGGAAGAAGGAACAAAGGGGAGGAAGGAGAGGAGGGAAGAAGAGATAAAAACAACGGAGCCCCTGGCGGCCCACCGGAACAGGAGCCCCGAAGGCCGCCATTGGAAAGCAGCAAGGGACACTCACCGTTGTCGCTGTCCGACTTGTTCTCGTGCTCCGTGTCCGTCAGCGTGAGGGCCGAGTTGGAGCGGCTGGACAAGCAGGAGCTGCGGCCGGACTTGACGCCCCGGCCCCAGAGTCTCATGGCGTGCTCTGGCGACATCACCGCCTCGTTTTCCGTGTCCGCGTCCGACCCTGCACTGAGAGAGTACCCTCTGGGGGGCAGCCCCATCTCCGCACAAAACGCCAGGCCTCTTCGAGTGGCTGGTTCGCACACTCCTAACTGCCTTAGGGTAAAATTCTGTCCTAATTAGGGGGGAAAAAAGACAACAGCTAGTGAGGATATGTTTAGTGTTAGTGTTACAGGTTGTTTTTTTTTTTTTTAAGAAACTCCCCATAAAATACATACTCAAGCATTCAAGTTTTTCAGCTATTCGCTCCAGGTGTTTACATACACTAGCACTGCATGGCAAAGGTCAAGTGGGTGCAATTCCTTTGCCCCCACACACCCCAGCTTACAGCACCTTCGTCCACCTTTTCACCCATAAGCACCTCCAGAGAGATGGGCAAGGGCGCCCCACAGACCAGGAAGCCTCAGCCCGGAGAAAGGGTTAGCTGTCAGGGACAGAAGTTAGCGCGGCAAACTTAGGAAGCAATGGGAACTGGCGCAATGATCTCCTGTGTCCTGGCTCTGGTCATGAACGGTAGGATTTTCCTACCCAGAAGTCATGGCCTCGAAAGAGAAAAGATTTCCCTCACAATGAAGTAGAACGAGGAGCTGGGTCAGTTTTTCCTCCATCTTCCCACCTTAATAACCAATATAAGCATACATTGTGTACATGTGTGTGCATATACTAAATTTTGGAATAGGTCTTGAAAGCCTGCAGACATCTGACTTTTTGCTTTAATAAACACCTGGAAACATCTGTACTGATTAGCATGAACCAATTCTTGCCAATGAAGTGCACTCTAAAAATATACAGGGAGTTCTATGAACTTAAAAATTAATGATAACATCAAGTCCCCTGCAAAATAGATGGCTGTGAACCCTGTGGGCCTTTACTAGTAAATGGCACGTAATAAAACTCAGGACACTGCAGTAAGTTAAAGCTGAAGTGTTTAAATTAGGTGACACTTCCCAATGACGGCTGTGATTAATGACGTTTCCAGTTTGGTGTTTATTTTTGAGATTTCGCACGTGTTTACGACACAAAGGATGAGGAGACAGACACACATTTGCTTGTGGGATGCGGGCACACGTGACTCTACCGCTTCTTTGGTTCGCGTGGCAGAGGGGGAGTTTGGGTACCACCCGGAATCAAAGTCCATGGAATGAATAATAGTGTTTAAAGACCGGTTTAAATGCTACCACATAATACCAGCCTTTAAAGAATATTAAGAATTTGTATTACTCATAGATTTCATCTTCCCACTTCTTTTTCTTAAAACTATGGGCATGTTAAAGTTAGTTGGCTGGTGTGAGAAATAGATTATACAGGGGTTGGCAAAGGAGGTTTGCAGTTGTAACACAAATAAATAATACAATAATTAATAAATAATAACGCAAGAATAAAGTCTGTGCTTTGCATACTCACAACTGTGAACCTAATTTTGCCGACTCCTCTATAGTAAGGTATTATATATGATTTGTGATAAAAATAACATGCTGAATCTTCTAGAAAATGAAATTGAACATAGCGCACAACACAGTAAACATTTGGTTGTAGAGCTATTAGCACCCTCCAGGTCTGCGAGCATTTTAACTCGTGTGGTTAATCACTTCATTGCTGTGGTCATATCAGACGTTGGCATCAGCTTCATCTCAGCCAGCCTTCCAAATGGATTATGACAACAGCACTCATAAATTATGAAAATCAGTAGCTACAATTAGCTACAAATCAAACTGTGCTTATCAGAGAGATGTAAGTATTTAAACCAAAAAATGTGTTAAAAAAAGAGGAAGGAGTAAAAAGGAAAAAAAAGGAGGAAGACAGGGAAGAAGAGCACGCTAGCAGTGATACAGTGGGCAAGCTCAATGAGGTAAAACCCAGCACTGTCGGTATTTTAGAAGAATTGGCGTGGATTGTACTTATAAAAGCGAATCCAACAAAGGTCAACGTCATGGACAGTTAATGGAATAGCTGTGGGAGAGCTTACCATTTATACATCACACTTAAAGTGGGGAGAGGGGAAAACAGGGTCCACAACAGTAACCTATAACTATCAAACATGCTGATATTTTCAAAATAAGAACACAAGATGATTTTTAAAGGGTGAAAATGAGAGACAGTTTCCTTTGTGTCCTTCCTCTATTTGGGCAGGTGCCCATATTGGAGAATAAAAATAAGAGAAGTTAAAAGACAATAAAACTCCCTTTCTAATCTCTGAACTGTAACTTGAAACACTTCCACATTATTGACTTTTCGCATTGTTGCCATCTTGATGCAAAAATCTATGAGGTGAAGGAAAGCAGAAAACTGCAATCTTTATTATTGGTTATCCAGGTATGTAAACACAATTCACTCTGCAAACAAATATCTAGCAGATGATCCCTATGAATTGATGTGTGTATCCAAACTCCTTAAAAATCTGGGCCCGGGAAATCAATGTCTCACAATGATTCAAAACTCTTAGGGGCTGCTTCTGAAACGCAAGCCAGCGAGCAAGCTGTTAGGTTTTCTTGCTGAATTGAAGTTCACCTTTGTTTCCACTAGGAACAAACACTAAACTTGACCTCCAACGGACCTAAGTTAAAGCTACTTGCTAGCCCTGTTCAAATCACTTTATCACCCTATTTTTTTTGTCTTTCAAGGCTGTCATGCCTTGGGTTAAGAGATGCGTTAAGCAAATGTGACTGGCAGGAAAGAAAAGCTAAACAAGAAACAGGTTAAAGATGAACACCTGGATAAATTAAAGTAACAATCATAGAAAAATGCACAATTCGAGGGTACAGAGAGGAACACTTTCAATTAAGTTTAAAATAGCCATAGCACCGCCGCATGAAAAAATCCCTCCACCTGTCCCCATGCTTCCAATCCCGCTGTTGTCATTTGTTCATTTGGTTAAAGATTCTTGCTTGTATGATCTCTAATTTTCATGCAGACACCCTTGAGGAGATTAGCCATTATACTAGAATAAATGAGCCTATGAGATTATTTCCCACACCCCAACCGTGTTTCACAAGATGGGCTATACTTGAGGATCCCCCACACAGGCAGTTCTGAGACGCAGAGACAGTTGGCTGAGGTAGCGCGGCGCGGGGGCGTTGGGTGGAGTTGTTGAGGGAAGACTTTCAGACATCGTAGGGCGGGCGGAAAGAGAAAGGCAGAAACAGGCAGCAAAGACGCATCTGGATTTGGGCTAAAAACTTGACCGTCGTGCCTAAATGAGCTTTGGCTTCAAATAGCAAAAAGATAAGGATATATTTATCTTATTTTCCGTGGTGTCTTCTGACACTATTTCCTTAAATTCTCTCTTAGCCTTTTGGAATCTTTATATGTTTGGCTGAGACCGGTGAAATCAGGACTATCTCCTGCATGTTGAATTTTGGTGACCTTGACCAGAAGGGCCAGTGACAGTTTCCTATTATAATTTGAAAGAGCACCAAAACAATAAATTGCAGCAGGAATAAAGTGCACCTGAGGACACAACTCAATGTGATTAAAAGGCAAGGTTAGCTTAGATGAGATTAGACATTTTTGTTTCATGACACTCATAAATTTGAAAATATATAAAAGAAAAACCAAATTAACACAACCGAGGAAGGCTGTATCATTTAAAAAGTGCACATTTTTTTTAAAAAGTGAGGGTATGTGACAAAGTGGAAAAGACCATATGAGAACAACTATTTCAAGTGAACTTGGCACATAGTACCACCACCCCTTTAATAAAAGAAGGGGCCTGGAAAAATGAGTTAGTTATTTGGCCTTTTTCTCATATACGTCTATAGCCTAGTCAGAGGAGGGAAGGAGTTTTCAAAGCTGCAAGGCAGAGTGATGTTCATCAATAGGCAAGACACCTACCGTCTCTGTGTGAGTTCAAAAGAACAGGGCTCTGCACGAGGGACTCGCTTCAGAGTCACACTGGCGACCTCACACAGCACAGGGGGTGGGGGCCCAGTGTACAAATCCACGGTATCCTCTTCTGGCCTGTGTGTAGGTTATTCTAATGTCTAGATGTGTTCTTCTCTCTCTTTCTCTTGTCTATTTGTTCTTTTATTTTTTGGTGTTTTTTTTTTTTAAACAGCTTCATTGAGGTGTAACTCACAAAGCATACAATACCCTCCTTTGAAGTGTACAGTTGAATGGTTTTTAGTACATTCACTGTAGCGCAACTATTGCCGCAGCCAATTCTAGAACATTTTTAACACCCCCGAAAGAAACCTTGTGCCAACAATCAGTCATCTCCCCTATCCCCTCTGATTCTCCCTGTGTCCCTGGCCCCAGACCACTACTAATTGACTTTGTCTCTATAGATTTACCTATTCTCGATATTTCAAATAGAAGAGATCCTACAATGTGTGGACTTCTGTGACTGGCTCCTTTTACTTAGCCCATGTTTTCAAGGTTTACCCGTATCGTAGCATGTATCAGTACTTCACTCCTTTTTACAGTTGAACAATATTCCATTGTATGGATAGAACACAACTCATCCATTCATCAGTTGATGCGCATTTGAGTTGGTTCCACTTTTGGCCTATTATAAACAATCATGTACAAATTTTTCTGTAGATATATGCTTTTATTTCTCTTTTGTATACACCTATGAGAGGCAGTGCTGTGTCAGATAGTAAGTCTATGTTGAACTTTTGGAGGAAGTGCCAGGCTGTTTTCCATAGTGAGAATTGTACATTTTCACTGGCAGGTGAGGACTCTAACTTCCGCATATCCTCACAAGCACTTGTTATTATTGTTAGTGTTGACTTTCTTCTATGCTCCACTGCAGCTCTGCAATGAGGAGCTGGGATAGAGGTCATTGGCATTTGAAATCTGAGGGACAAACCAAGAATCAGTGTTCTCTTAAAAGCAGTTGATTCTGTTGGGCCTGCTCTGACAATTCATTATTACCTTATCTTACCATTTTATTCTTTCTCTTCTATTATGCTGTTTTAGTACCTGAAAATATTTTTCTGTTAAAATTAAAAATACTTTTTAGATCAAAAAGTCTACTGCGTTTTGAGATGATATCCTATAGAAATAAAATCAGCTGACTGTACATACATGGACACATAATATTTACTAGGGCAGTGTTGCAAAAATTCAAGTAACTGGAACGTTGACCAGGAATGGAGTGCCTGAGAAAGTTTT